TCTATGTGGCAGCTGCAATGCGTGACTATGACCACCCAGAGCGAACAAATGCATTTCTAGTGGCTACAAATGCCCCTCAGACAGTTTTGTACAATGATAGATCTGTTCTTGAGAATCATCATGCTGCATCAACTTGGAATCTCTATCTTTCTCGCCCAGAGTTCAACTTTCTTCGTAATCTCGACCATGTGGAATTCAAGCGCTTTCGTTTTTTAGTCATTGAAGCAATTCTTGCCACAGATCTTAAAAAGCATTTTGATTTCCTTGCTGAGTTCAATGCCAATGATGTAAATAGTAATGGAATAGAATGGAGTAATGAAAACGACTGCCTCTTGGTGTGCCAGGTATGCATCAAATTAGCAGATATAAATGACCCAGCTGTCTTTGGCCCTTGGCTTGGGGTGAGCTGTCATGGCCCTCAGGGTGAGCTCCTCAGTCCCCAGATTGTGCAATCTGAGCCCTGGGTAGGAAAAAAAATGCCTAGGGTATCCAGAGAATTTTATCTAGGCTACTTTCTGCCACCCTCTCCCCCAGTAAACCTGAAAGCAACACCTCCAAAACCCCTCTATTTGTAACTCACAAGTTTGTTCTCTCTAGGTTTGCTCCCTTTCCTATAGGTAACCTTACAACTGAGTTTTATTTCAGACCTGACCCCGAACCCAGTGCCAGTGACAAAAAGGAAATACAACTGCCAGCTAAAGAAGCAAAGGAGGATGGAGCCTCTGGGTTCAACCAGCCATCCCCACTGGACCCACCTGGGAAAACACTTTGCAGTCCAGAGGGGAGCAAATGACAGGAAAATATCTTCTAACAGAACAAGAAGGCAAGCAGCCTTAACCCAAGTTCACCAGTAAGGTGATAAAGTGTCCTCCCTTTCCCCCTTCACATCAACACCCCTGTTCAGCATGAAGAAGCCAGAGAGTTGGCATCCAGTTTCCAAATCAATAAGACAGTTGATTAATTACCATTGGAAAATGCTTGTCATTTTCCTGTAGCATCTGGTCCCCACTCAATCCTCATCATTTCCTTCACCTGCTCCCCCCACCGACCAAACTGTGCAGCTCTGTAACTGCATCCCTGCCCATTCTCACCCTTCTGCCCCCAACCCTCACCTCCTTGTATCCCCAATATGTTTTTTTCCCAATAAAAAAACAAAAACAAAACAAAACAAAAAAATCAATAAATGGCCCAGCAAAAGTTCGGGACTTGCATTTCAAATGGACAGAAGGTATTGTGAATGAACTTTATGAGCAGGGAGATGAAGAAGCAAATCTTGGGCTGCCCGTCAGTCCCTTTATGGATCATTCCTCTCCTCAACTTGCAAAACTCCAAGAGTCTTTTATCACCCACATCGTGGGTCCTCTGTGTAACTCCTATGATGCTGCTGGTTTGCTTCCTGGCCAGTGGGTGGAAGCCGAAGATGATGACAATACTGAAAGTGATGATCAAGAAGAAGATGGTGAATTAGATACAGATGTTGAAGAAATGGAAGACAGTCTAAATCCTAAACCATGAAGGAGGAAAAGCAGACAGCGAAAATTTTGTCAACTAATGCACCACCTCACTGAAAACCACAAGATATGGAAGGGAATC